CCGCCTTGGAGGGATAGAAAAGCTCACCGGCGGCGCGGACGCGAGCGCGTGCTGGTGACGTCAACTGGGGCAAAACCTATGGAGGCCAAGCCACCGCCGCTCACACGAGGTTGCTGGCATTTCACTTACCTAGTCAATCAATGTGCGGGGAGTGAAATGATTGTATCACGTATCATCCTCGCGTCAAAGAATAGGAATTTTCACGCGTGTTGTTCCAAACGTTGTAAATGATCAGCAATGCAATGAACCAAGTCAATGCCTTCATGTGTAAACCCTTAAGGTTTCAATTATACCAAAGTTGATTCCCGTGAGTTCGTTGTTCGATTTCGATTCTACTTACAAAACGCTGGCCCTTGCTGCCTCCTTCGCCGCTACGTTGACGTCAAAGTGACGCGCCCGCGCCGCCGGTGAGCTTTTCTACGGAGCCTCCCGCCTTGATGCGACGCTCATCGGTGCTGCCCTCTTCAACACTAACGCTCCCTCGGCTGAACGACTGCAGTCAGACGGCGGTAGGGTGGGCGTGTCGCGGCACGAGTATGGCCCTACCAGGCCGCTGGGCTGCAAAACTTCGATCTTATCATGGAGTCCTCCCTTGATGGAATCGTCCACGAAAACATTATGATTCTATCACCCACAAATCACTGGCTAGCGTAAACAATTCGAAAAACGGGAAAGCTGTTACGCGTTCAAATTCCTGTCGTACTTCTGTCTCAAATTTTGGCGACAATCCAGTCGATTTTCGGAGCGGCTTCACTAGGAACTCCTTTTTCGGCCGTTTCCATCAATGGCAAGAACACATTTCTTTTCTAGTGCATCCCATTCTTTTCATCGTTTTGTCTCTATTCTTCCAATTTGAACGCTTTAAACTAAGCATTTCAATGCATCGCCTGATACGTGGCCGCTCCAAGGCGCACTTCTTTCCCTCGTCTTCACCCGACCTCAGCACGACCGTCGCCAGAGTGATTTGCGAAAGTTTGTTCCTTTCAAAATCAGATCGTGAGTCTTCTTGCGCAATAGTTTGTACGTTGCATCAGTTGATCACAAATCGTATTGTTAGGAAAGAAAGCAAGAATTTTAATGACTCCTCCAATCAAACTAACCATAAGCATCCTTGTCGCCCCTTCGTGTACTATACATGTGTCTAATCATGCTCCAATGTATTTGTTTATGAACCACTCAAAAAAGCAGCATCACAGAACATCCTGTCGCAATTTTCGAACTTGAAAAACAGAAAATTCTCAAGATGAGAGTATATGTGACAAAGCCCTCACCCTTGAGCTACCACACGCTTGTAAGAACCATGTGAATACAACAGCTTACGATTTGCCTATACAAAGCCAGGTTGACAATCTATACAATGTATATCAATGTCGTCTAGTGCTTCTTTCGCTCCTCCTCGAATCCGACGCCAGGCACATACTGCTCACTGCGATTGTGGAACAACGAGTGGTTGCCATCTCCCCAAGGGAAAGGCTGAAACAAAAGCCATCCAGTCACACGTTTTGAGGTAATTATCACATGTTCCTACTATTAAGCTACAGTTCTGACGGTAAAATTTAGGGTGCAAGCGAAAAGAATAACGTGAGCAAGCGAATGTAGCCACAACAATAACCTAAAAATCTAATTAACAGCAACCTTGTTTCTGACGTTGAGGAACGGATACGGAACATATTCCGGACGTTCGTGAGCCATGTGATTAACGTGGTCTTTGTAGGCAGCATACATTGTTAGAGCAAGACATGGGATCGAGGCGTAGAAGAAAATCTTCTTCCATGTCTGCTTAGTGGCTGAAATGGGCATACGTTAGCATAATTCGATAATTCGCTGCTCTAAAGATTACCAATAAATGGAAAATGGTTTTTGAGAACTACATGTATTTGTAAACGTCTCAGTCGGAACGAGGCAATATATTCTTGATCTATGGTAACCAGTCAAAATGAATGATTTGTGATTAGTCAATAGGTAAAATAACTATTTATCAACAAGTGAAATCGTAGGGAAAACATAACTATGAAAACAAATACACCTACGGTCCACTTGAGCTTGGTCCTTAAAGCTGTTTCAATGTGCTGCTCTCGTATACGATCTCTCGCCCGAGGAGAGGTTCATGATTACTGTGAACTCACGCATTCAAGATTTCGCTAGACAGTAATTGGCACACCCACCCCACAGCAGCCCTCCCCTCCAAAGCATACTCCTTACTCATCCCACATGACATTCCTCGGGACTTTAGGCTTTTGCGACAGAGAACATGGAGGTAATTTCAAGTAGTCACGTTACCAAACCAGTACAACCGACCCTGTGATAGTCTAAACTGGCCAGACATTACTGTATATGTTATTGAAAGAAAAATGATACACGTCCCACTGAAATTGCGTAATTTATGGACTGTCACATTATTACAGGTCAAATGATCGAAAAAAAAACTCTAAAATATTTATGTTTGCATCACCGCGATCACTGGAAAAATACCGAGGTGATTTAAACTTTTTGCTTCACAATTACAGAAACCAAAGCGAAGCAGATTCCTTGTTTCTTAAGAAAAATAAATACTTTTCTCATCATCCATACAGATTCACTACCGCTGTCTCTATCCTTCTTGGGTTAATATGCTAAAGCTCTGATCGATATTGAATGACCGCGGGAGAAGCTCTCAACAAAACGCACTCTTTTTCTCTGAAGATTGTCCGTAATACACAATTAGCAACAAAATTCCTTATCATATTATCAATGACCTCGAGCAGCCTACGCGATATCGATTTTTCATGACTGCTCCTTTATGCACTACTAATTCTGCAGAACAGTGGTAGCACACCTAGGCACAGTAGTCAGAAAAAAATATATACTTTTTTTGTTAACTGCTGTTTTTGGCCGCAGTTCGCCTTGCGAATGTTTCACAAGAATGCTGGGTTGTGAACAAAACTTTCCCCAGGCGGGACTAGAACCCGCACCTCTCGCTTTCCGGGCAAGTGCGCTACCAGTTACGCTACCGGGGCACCATTTCATCCCAACTCAGCTTTTCATGGTATACTCATTATAGCTTCAGCACTCACACTCATGTGTGGCTGTTTTATGCTATGTCTTTGATGTGCGTGTGCGTTTCTAAATCGGCATTAGGGACTCGTATGGATATGGAATAGAAAGTATATTCAGTCACAGAATCCCTAATTTGAATGCAGAACTATTTGGTTCATGTCCTCTGAAGGGAAAAAATAAAAAAAAAGTAATGAAAAAGCTAATAAAATTTCCTGGAAAATACCAAGTAGAAGTGACACTGGTGAATAATGCTGGTAAATAAGCTGGTGAATAATGCAACACTGGTAAGAATCCAGGATACTTGTCTAATGAAGTGGGGTTATCCGGTTTTGAGGAAATTTCTTCCTTATAAGTAAATTTCGTATTAATCTCCAATTATGGGCAGAATTTAATCGGAAAAGAAAAGCCAGAATAAGGCAAGGTCTTGCGAACTCTGCACAAAAGGTTGAAATGAAGAGGAGACCTACTGTGAGCTTCCTTTAGTGATTCTGTCATAGAACTTTTGAAACCATCGAAGTTATGTGATCCGTAAAATCCACCCGATGAGTTCCTTTGAGTCGATCGAATGACAGCTCCACGAGTGGCCGGCAGCAGACGGCTTAGACCAGACATCACCTAAAATTCTGCGTCTGTTATAAGCATAAATTACGCAGAATACAGAACGTTTGCGTATATAGTGTGCACATGCACAAACGAGCAATATGCCGCCATAGAGAAAGCAAGAGAAGAGAACATAAAAAAAATCACTTTCAATGGAATAGAACGCGTAGCGCAACCCGAAAAATAGGTTAGCTCCATATATTCTACTTTTATCCTCAGAACTAAACTGAACAACCGTCGTCATACGATGATGTGATGCACATGGTGCAGCAGGTGAAGTTGGAAGGCGAAAAGCTGTTTTGTCCCCGAAGTGTAAAGGAACCCTTTCGACGTAATGAGCACGTGCTGAATTATGACCTAGGTGAAAGCTAGCAACTCGTGCATAAAGAAAACTGGCTAACAAGATGATTTCCTACTCCTAGTAGGTAGTCAAAATAATTTTGAAATTTTCAAAGTTTCGTCAGATTACAAATATTTTTTGCCTTACATAACTATTTACATTGAGCTCATTGGCAACGCTACAATAAACGCGATACGCTACGACGCTGCAAACATTAACACACACACACTTAGCCCCTTTATATGCTCGAAATGCGCCGTTCTGTCTCCCCTACAATGCACTTCCGAGCCCTTTTCACATTTTCTTACATAAAATTTGCAGAGCACCTTCAAAGCAACTCTGTGTGTGCCCCTCGTTTTGGTAACCCTAACCAGCAACTTTCAGTCTAAAGTGGCAGAAAAAGCTATCCCGTGATCAGATCATAGAAATGGGTTGTTATCACAGCATGAAAACACGTGATACGGCAACGTGACTTTCTCGAATGGACTTTCGTTCCAGAAGACGAACGCCAAAAAGTTCGCAGGAAGATCGCGAACATTACTCAAGGAAGAAAAGTCTCATGGTTGTGTAATGATCACGAATCCGGAATGTTTTTACTTAAGCCTCCAACGCTTCAAGCCTGTCATTAGCATATTGTAGTGACTTATTTATCATTCATTTATGCTATAAAATAATGACTTCCTGAGCTCTTTTACTCGCATCTATACTTCACAAACTCATGGACTATATTCGGCAAGGAAACGCTTTTTTCTTCGATACTAATGTTTCAGCGTCCTACGATTCTAACGATAACAAGAAAGATGCCGCTGTTAAAAAGAGACAGAAATACACCTCAAACACGAAAAGAAAGCCGTCATTATTTACTACTTTCATAAGGGAGAGGCTCCCAATCTTCATTTTGTTCCAATACTCTGCGCTGTGCGCAAAACCCGATAGCTTCATTCTGCTCAATCCCCTTTGCTTCCATTCTGAGAACGGCGTCAGAATCTCCGAAAGTGAAAAATAAAGCGAGTCACGCCAACACGATAGCCAAAAGAACCAAGAGAAGTAGGAATTAGTAAGCACAATAAGGTTTCCGAAGACAAACACAGCATTTCCCTCCCATGCTTTC